CCCTTTCCTACGGTTACGATAAGAAGTCGATGGAAACCCTCTACTTTTGTGGTGTAGTTCCGAGTATAGTCATACAGAGTTCTTACGTAGGATGGGCCCACCCTTTGGTCGACGAGCACTGCCAGGATTGCCTTCGTTTCGATACCGTCAAGCGCCTTTTCATTTTCGGTAAATAGTAAGCACTAGGTTTCCAAAAATGGTGTTCCCAAAAAACTTCAGTGACCCTGGACGCAGCTTGCATGTGGTCCGTGCAGCAAAATCGTTGTCGATTTTTTGCTCGCTATATTGATTGTGCTTTATGCAAAGCTTTCAATATGGACATTAGATCAATTTTTGTAAATAGCTTGTAGAAGACGCTCAACAAGCATGTCGGATGATAGGGCGTACCCGAAGTGTCTGCTGCTCTACGATTTCGTCCTTCTGGAAGTCTCATACGAGTTGGCAGAAATACATGCAATTTGTGGCTCTGAAGGAAGTCGGCGGTGATATTACCAGGTCTTGGAGCTGTGCTTTCCTTCGTGCTTTCTATTGCAAACCGGACTTCAGAGCGTAGAATCCCAGCCGGTTCTCCTCCAGCGGAAATTTCGGAGTCCGAGACGAGTATTGTGGAACGGAAAAGATTGGTATATAACCATCTTCGGATTGTTGAGCTGACAAGAGGTTGGTATGAAACATTTATACCGCTAACGTTTCTATGTTTCAGGCTTCATCAGAGCCGCATTGATTCGAGTCGATGATGCGCACGTGCACGTCCTTGTACCGAGACGAATTCAATGAAGTGAAGCATCGATCGAATGAGCAATCTCACTCAGCGATCCCCTTTCATTCATGACGGATGTTGGTTGATTTCTGCCAACCAGTATGATCTGCTGTTTGGAGAGTAATGCGTCCCGTAGCAGTCAGTTCTATACAAGCTGGCTCATAGTGTAGTAATACATCTCTAAAATTTTCTAAAATTCGACTTTCATATGACTGCGGTATAAGATGGTAGTACCGGTTGGAATTCTTCATTAGATCGGTGTTCCACTTTATTGGATTAAATTTAGTGAGACAAGGAACTCCCACATTGCGAGATTGACCACATGTGCTTCATTGACTCGGATCAACGCCGCAATGCGAGAAGTTATTGACCATTTATGCTATGGTCAAATAAAAATCGGCTTTTAAGACTGTTATAAAACACTTGATGTTCCTCGCAACGGTTTACCGCATCGTGACTGGGAGGTGTTTCTAAGTGTCAGACTGCGATATACAGCAGAAAGATGCATCCCCCAGCAGGGTCTCCCAAGCTGAGAAGGAGTCCAGTGTTTCCATCAAGAAGCTTAGCTAAGAGTGAACCAATAACAGGATCCACCACCGCCTTGGAATCAAACTAGTCGCATGGTGGCATATCTCCATCTGATCCATACGGGCTGCAACTGCCTGTGGTGGTGACGACTTGGGCCAGACTTTGGCCTGGGCTACCTCAGGACTCCAGGGTAACACAGCGGCTAAACCAGCAAAGCTCCCAAAAATGGAAAATATGCTGGGTCCTGCACAAACACTCAGAAGGGGCCGTTTAAGTATTCAAGTAAGCATGTTTGAAAGCATTTCAGTTATCAATTTCATATCATGGAGGCATGTTGTGATAGTCGCTTTTTCTTTCACCAAGCGAGTAGCGGGACATTATAGTCGACAAGATCCCGACGACACTTCTTCAGACTGGGCGGTTTTTGAGCAGTTTCGAACAAATTTTTTTGCCTATCCCAGGTAGATCCTTCTTCAAAGATCTTCTACAGCTGGCATGTAAAATTAGCCGTGTTAAGGGGGTTACAGCAGGATCAAGACCCAGTTTTCTCCTTTTTGGAGCAACACCTCAGCGCTAATCAAGGTGTGCTCTGCGCGTCTTGTTTGAGAAAATGAGGCGAGTTCCGCATTTTAAATCCTTCAAAAAGCAGTTTGCAATCCTCGGTTAGGTCTTCTATTATCTGTCAGTCATCTGGGGAAGAGATTTTGTTGAACTTGCCTTCGTCGTACACAACATGCTCCCTTTTTCTTGATCGATAAAATGAGTTCCGCTCCAGGTTATAACTAAATCGAATCTTCGCACGAAGATGATAATCGAGTCCAACACAAAATTAGGTACTACTTTAGAAATCAGACAGCAGAAAAGAAAATTCGACTGGTTTTCACCTTTTATCTCGCTGCTACACCTCGTAGAAGAGAGCGACCACCATGCGTGGTAGTGAGGTTGGATTTCTGCTGGTTGAGCCACTATGGTTTCCTGGAGTCCCACGTTCAACCTAGTCGAAGCCTTCCTCAGCTCGTCACCACACTAGAAGTTGCTAGTTTTCAGTGGATCACAGGTAGATTTGCCACATTATAAGCAATTTAATACAAAGACGACGGTGATTTATGGTATTCGTTTACTCCTTGCTGGGGTACCGGATGGAAACGTCAGACTCCTTGTCATCTTAAAAGCCTCTGTTAGGGCAAAAGCCTCCAGCTGCACATTGCAGTCCGACATCTAAAAACACTTCCCAGCGACGATGAGGCAGTAAACTACTGCTGGGAAAAAATAAATCTAAAGTAGTACTACTCCACTGCATTCGACTCAGCGAGACAACGAATAACCAAATCGCGAAAACGACCAGCTCCAAACTATCGACGGATCGATCCGGTTTTGAAGAAAGCGAAGAAGTAGAAACGTCGACCAAATAAGAGTATTCACCAACCTCATGTTAGCTCAACGATTCAATAAAGTACAGCAATAAAACTACTTTTGATTTTTAATAAGCTAGATGGTTGGTTTGAATCCGATCGATGTGATGAATAAGTGGCGTGGTACATAAAACATGAGAAATTTATTTATGCGCTACTTTTCGTTATCCTTTTACGATTTTTTATATTTTCTATTTATAGGTATTCATATCCAATTGGTTTGAGTACTCAAACATGCGGCGTATATTTGACAGTGTTTGTATCAGTACATCGGTAGGTTAAAAAATCTTAAGACCGTAAAGAACTATTGTCAAACTGATTATTAATAACGGTAATGTCTGGCGAAATCTTATTTTTCTAGGTTGTGGTATTCACATCTTCAATCAATCAATCATTGTTTATTTACATTTCGAATTGATTGAAAAATATAACATCAAAATATCTCATGGGCAGTGCGCGGTGTTAAAAACACTCCTACTAAGATCCCGGCGTTAATAAAAATAGTAATAATAGTCATCATAAATATAATTATGATTAATCGCAATGCTACTAAGTATTGATTGGCCTAAACAGTTACAGATGAGGTCAGTAGTTAATGTCGAGTGCCAGGGTTGCCGAATTGGGTCTGTTGGCACGAAAAGTGGAAGGAATATCGATTTCTTCCAGGGTGTTCGATAAGCTATCTGATCGGTGGTTTCTTTTGTTCTGCACTTGATATCACATAGGTAAACCGTTTGGCTCTTTTTATCACCATCTTTGAATATAGCAGGGCGATTTCCAGCTCCCCAACGCTATTTAACACTGTGATTATATTTTTCCACGCGCTTGAAACTGAGTACTTCCAATATTATTCTTCTTGGTGCCCCGTTTTTCGCTTAGCGCACTTTTCTTCCTTTTAGGCAGGGTACAGTTCTCCACAGAAATACTAAGGCAGAATACAACCCTAACTTTAATAAGTACCTCTCTTAATCAAATGCTCGTTGCGTTCTCGACTAGTCCTCCCACCAGTTTACTGCCTCATTGTGGCTACGAGGTGTTCCTTGTTGTCGGGCTGCGATGCACAGCGAGGATTCATCCCTCTAGCAGGGTCTCCCAAGTTGAGAGAGAAGACTCCGACGTTTCTATGAGGAAGCCTAGCTAACAGTCAACCAATACCAGGATCCACCACCGCCCTGGTACCAAACTAGTCGCATGGGGGCAAATCTCTCTCTGATCCACATGAGCTGCGACTGCCAGTGGTGGTGACAACCTGGGACAGACTTTGGCCAGGCTGACCTCGTGATTCAAGGGAGCTACAATGGCTTAACTAGCAAATCTCCGAAGAACGAAAATTATGCTGGAACCCTCACAACTATTGAGGACAGGCCATTCAAATAATCGAGTAAGTTCTCGACTAGTATATTTTCATGCCGTCGTATTTTTACTGCTCAGTTCTGGAGCTAAGTTGTTTGCCAATTGGCTTCGTGACAAACAAATAGCGTTAATGAAGCTTGTAAAGCAAACCCTGTTGTTAAACATCTTTTTCTTCGGGTTCAGTCGAAGGGCAATCTGTTCATCAAATTCTCTACGTGGATGAAACCGACCACCCTTTACAGTTTCATGCTTATATATCTGAGAAAGACGTCGTTGACAAAAAAAGTTTATGTCATTTCTGAAATTACGCGAGATACTGGTTTTGAAGTTTATGTATATCTCATAACATATTGAAGGTATACTGAGTATGAATGCATCGATTGACTAAGATGTATAACCGCATATGTCTCGACTGAAACGAAAGCCTACTTTAAGCTGGTGAAAGTAAGACATAGTGGTAACCTGTACTTTAGCGGTACAACAATAAGCTACGGATGCGATCCATACTACTGGACACGTTTGGATATGATCCAAACTGCTGGAGCTTTTCTTAATTACTTCTAACTGCCGTGGATCTCCTTTTCTCGACGTTCTGTTAATGTGGTTGTTACCGACTCATATTACCAATTTTTGACCATAGGTAATAGGGTGATACTGCGACAACAGGACGGTTCTTTATATATAGGATAGTGAAAGGAAAAAGGATAATTGCTGTAACGAAACAACTGCTCCTTATAAAGTGGTGTGCGGGTATCTGAATTGGACTTTTTTAAAAACCTATCGAAATTTGTGAGTTACCTTCTCCACTACTGTTCTGGATGCACTAACGTGTACATGCCAGTGTGATTGGTGACACACTTCCTTATGCATGATATTACTTGGGTTCATATTCCTTAACTGGTTGCTTTCTTCCCTTACAAGAAGAAGAATTTTGTACAAAGAAGGCCATGAATCGAACGTGTACAAGCACCGATCCACGTCTGATCAGTTTTACTGCAGTACTGCTGAGGGGGATATTCTTACGTCAAACGGCTATTCTACGAAATTGTAAGTTAGTGTAGTTGTAATTATAGTGCTGATGAACTGAAACACCTTCTCACCTGGTCGTTACATGCTAGTCCATGAATTATCATATTCTGCAGGCGTTCATCGGAATCCAGTCAGAGATGTTGCCTATAAAAATCATATGAGATCTTACCAATAGAGGTTCTCTATATTGTTATGAAATTCCTCGAATTTAATTTTGTAACCATAATTTGGAACACTACAGACAAATACTGTCGTTACTTTGCACCACTAAACGTCTCATTCAGGTCTCAACCTTTTGAAAAAAACCGATAATTACCGACGAGCTTGTGTTGATGAAGACACCTAGTCTACTGATTCCTCCGTATCTTTTAAATTTCGGTACTCTGTAATAATACTGAGGCTTTGGTGATTTTTCTATACGAATACATCCTAATGCTACACAAAAGAGAGACACCCAACGACTGTTCCCTTCTCTGATGACTGATATTATCTATGCTGTGTTAAGTTATCTTGAAGCAGAATGGGAATTTTTTGTTGTAGAGGACCACCTTCCGAACATCACCTCTTCCAAAAGTTGACAGCTTTTCGTTGAATTAATGTGCAGGACAAAGAGGCATAAATATGTGCACATTAACGAACGAGTGGCGACCTATGGCGATCTACGCAAGGAAAGCAAAGGTTAATCTCGCGATCCACGAAAAAAGTATCATCTGGAAAAACCAGCTGAATGTTGGACATTAGACTAACAGATTCGAGATCTTTCAGATGGAGATTTAAGGAGATTCGTTCTCACAACAATGATATTGCAATAACGCTGGAAATAATATTAATAATACTATCACTATTTTTACTTTTTATTTTCTGTCTTCTATTATTTTTATGGCAGGGTATTAAGCGAAATACAACCACAATGGTGCTGAGATATTTGCGTTACTCTGAACCGCAGGTGTCTGCGATGGGGAACGAACGCGGTGTTGCCCTTTCCGGGGAGTAACGCGTTCTGCACCACATCATGCGGGTCCTTCGTTCCCTCTGTCTCTCAGCTAGTTCTACTGATCTGTGCCGTCAGCAATCACCCGTGAACGGGATTAATCTGGGGAGCCCATATCGGCATTAAACCCTGTTAAGCTGAGGCTGGAGTTGAATTCGCAATGTTTACTTTTTGTTTTCTGCCCTCCATTATTTTTATGGTAGGGTGTTAAGCGAAATACAACCACAAGATTGCTGTCACTATTATATCACAATGTTAACAACATCGTTACTGCTATAAAAGTGTCAAAATAGAGTGCACGTATACTTACTAACTTCTACTGGTAAATTAGAAGGCATGTGGCGTAGTGGTTAGAGGCGCCCTGAAATACACATGAGACCGATACCCACGTTCCAGGCTCACCAAGCCTTCCATCCCTCTGGGGTTGGCAAATTGGTACCAGACTTCTCTGGAAGGATAGCAGCACTGGCTCAATACATCGGTCGGCCACCACGAGTTAGTAAGGGCCAAATGTGCGCACTTAATCACCCCCTACGATGCTTAAGGAAATCGAATGCATGGCGCACATTTCAGAGACTGATCAACGCCGAGAACTTTAACCTTTATCCTTTCTATTGGCAAATTAAGAAAAGATTAGTTTCTCAGACTAACGTGAAACATAAGATGGTGTTTTCAATCGTTATCAAGCGTAGGAGTATTAGTCATTCTAAACAAGCAGAAACATTCTCACTAGTAAGATTCTCTTCAGATATGTTGGCGTATGTCACCCCTTCCGCGCAAAACGATGGGTTAGTGGAGGACCTGTAAGGTGTGCCATCATAGGTGAGTTTAAAAAAAACTACAACTTATCTTTTCTTGAACGAACTCTTATCTACAATTCGAAAAAGCTGCTGCCCTATGAATTCATTAGCCAAATCCTTGAGAAAATCCTTGTCGAGTAGGTTTTCTGAAGAGTTTCTGACCTATACTAGATAGCAAGTGTTGAATTAGAAAAGCTTACTTACGCAATCAGGTCCCTAGGCGATTAATTACTTACGCAATCAGGTCCCTAGGCGATTAATTACATACGCAATCAGGTCCTTAGGCGATCCGTCAACACCTTCCGTGTAGATCTTATATTTGCTTTCATCCATTTCCTTATCTTCAACCCATATCTACGCGAAAAAGTGCGTGCGAGCTATGCTGCTATTCGAGGATTTGAAATTTCATTCCAACGGTGAGTATAGTTGGCATTCGGCCAACATATCGGCCTATCTATCTATAAGTTTCTTTCAAGGACGCTTTTGATTCCCTCGGGGATCACAGTTATACATTTTTCCTCTACACTTGCACGGCTGGACTTTCAAATAGAAATATCGAACTCTTTAGTTAGAAAGACATCACTGAGGATGAGCCACTAGTGCACATCACTGTTCCACACGTAGGACAACCCTTCAGATATTATTAGACACTAGACCATTCTGTAGCAATTCCTTCAAAACGGGCTTTTTGTTATCGACCATTGGAATGAAGAATGAATTTTTTAGTGCTCACCTTTGTTAATTTGCAATACTCTATAGAGCCAACAATATTTCTAGAAACCTAATATTGTTATCATTTGATATCCCTTTTTTCCTTTCACAAAAGTTTATAATATTAGGTACAACTGAAAAATAGGTAAGCAAAAGCAGGAAAGACAGCTACTAATTTATACATGCTGCTATCTATTATTCGACGAACGAAGGTTATAGTGCATGCTTTTGATCAAATTCGTGAGGTTTGAACCATGCATTTGACTCCATTCGCGACAACATGAAAGTGTTGAGATCTATATTTTGTCAGTGCAACGACATGCGCACCGTACGATCTATCGAATCAATTATTTATCCTCAAAGTCTAAGCTTAAAAAGGATAAAGGGTAGAGCTTCCCGGCGTTGATCAATCTCTGAGGTATGCGCTATTCATTCGACTTCATTAAGATTCGTTTGGAGGTAGTTGAATGCACATCTAGCCTTTACAGTGACTCGCGGTGGCCTGCCAATGTATTGAGTCGGTGCTGCTATCCTCCCAGACAAGTCTGGTACCAATTTGCAGACCCCGGAGGTATGGAAGGCTTGGTGGGCCATGGGCGCTGGGATCGATTCCACGTGTATGCCGCAGCGGCGCCTCCCACCACTGGCTGCGCGCCCCGAACTCGAAGCTTAGAACGGGAAAAAAGGACAAAGGGAAAAATAACGGCGACTAGCCTTCTTTTATTACCTATTTCTTGTAAAGAAGTAAAATAGTAGCTGCATTTCATGTTTTCAGGATCTATAATAATCAGCATCGTGATTAACATACACACATGGTTAGAACTCGACATTTCCGAGTGCTTTTCGGCAGAGTTCAATCAAAAAGTACGGTAGGTATTTCTGTGTCAAATATGATGCATGATATAAGTAAAAATCACAGTTTTTGAATACGGATTCCAAATCTAATTTAAGTGTAAAAAGATACCCTCCCTACTTCACGATTGCATGAAGTTCCGTCAAAGCCTGGCTTTTTTCATCATAGATTAGAAAACCTTCAATACGTGGTTATAGGGGACCGGAACCAATTCTCCAAGCCAATCAACTTCGCCTGAACTAAACCGTAGTAATAAACATTACATGATGTAAAGGAAGTACTGGTCATGCAAATCGACATATAAAGTCGTAATTTAACAGTGCTAACAAGGTAAACAGCCTTCCACATCGACTTTAATATAGTTTTTTAAGAAGCATCACACTGACGGCTTTGAAATCCAACGAGATCTACAACATCATAACAAAGTGTATTCTGTACACGCTATTGATGTTCGTAATTCCATTCGTCACATTGATCATCGTCAATTGGCGTATTGTTGTCACACTGAAACAAAGCACACGAATGCGAAATCGTCTCTCTTCAACCAGATACAGTCAAGCGTAAGTCAGTCACACACATACTAATCGGTGTTTACTCTATAATAACATATATTGCTTATATTAACCCTAGTTGATGTGTAGATGAAACCGGTGATGACTCGTGGTCTATAAGAACAATAGGAGTCTATTAAAATAACCAGGTTTTTGTGCATAAAGATAATAGCACCACCTCGTATGACGGAAAGTGCTCTTTACTAGTGAAAGACCTTACGTGAGGTGCCTTTCACATCGACATCTTTTTTCGTATTTAGAAACGAAGTTTTATATGATATTAGAAAAACCGTCATAACGAGCCAAGAGCCGAAACTCCATCATTTAAAACTTAAGTACAGTTTACGCTTATTTAATGATGTTAGGCTTAATTTTACCATCGAATAGTGTTCAATACCAAGTTTGCGAGAGCAAAATTTTAATCATTAAAAAGTATATAGCATCTATGACTGGATACTGGATGTTGTCTGAAATGAACATCGAAAAGAATATCATTGTGAGATATCACATTCGAACTATATTTTTCTAGAGCATTTCACCTTCAAGGGGACGATAACACAGTGGTAGTAATGCCGATCATCAGGAGCATGGTGTTGACTCGCGGCTGGCCCAGGCTAACCAAGCCCGTCATCGTTCTCGGAGGTCAAGAGGGCTTGGTGCTGGACTTGTCCAGAAAAAACCACTTCTGCATTCCAATCGGGAAGGCTCCAGCCCGGCTATCCCAGGACTCCAGGGAGAATCGACTCAACCATCATTCTACGACATTCAAGATGAAATGAAAATCCTCAAGCAACAGTCGAAGCCACACGTAAAAAGTTGGAAGATCTTCATGGATGATGGATGCGAGAAAACGAATCGAATGCGAAAAGTGTTGAGAACAGCAAAGTAGACGTGAACACGGGTCAAGCAAAATAAAATTTAAAAAAGCTTCAACCTAACTCGAACTTCACACAAAGTACACTTTTTGTTCCAGCACGCGTTTGCTATATTTTTGAGATGCAAAATTTTTGACTAACTCTATTATTGCCTTTACTATTCTTAATTATTGTTGCTAGTATTCTTATTTATTATTGCTGTTCTTACTTGCTCCGCTGTCCTAAGTTTCAAGTAGTGATGGCATCCATACATTTACGTCTTTTTAAGGAATGTTTCCACATGGATTTTTAGACCTTTTACAGTCTTCTAACTGGTTTAGATATCTCTGCCAACCGATACTTGCTTCAGACTTGAGTCCTCTTTCCAACATTTCGTGGTATGCCAAAGATCAAGTTTTTCTGATGTAGTGGGCATTAATAGACACTTGGGATATGTCGTACCAAGCAGTGAAGGGCGCTGAGTAAAATTACTGCCTTCCTATTAAAAACTGTTTATCCCAAAGAATGCCTCCAACGAAAACTTTGTAGACCATACAAGAAAAAATCCGGCAGCGAATTGTCAAAAATGGTGTTATAAAACTTTATTTACAATTATTTGAATATTAGAAATTAAGGACGCGTGTGGCGTAGTAGTTGGAGGCGCCTTGCGACACAAACGTGGAATCGACCCACGCGCCCATGGCCCATAAGCCTTCCATCCCTACGGGGTCGGTACATTAGTACCAGACTTGTCTAGGAGGATAGCAGCACTGGTCGATACATCGGTACGCCACGGCGAGTCATTGTAAAGGCCAGATATGAATTCAATCACCTTCAACGGTGCTTAATGAAGTCGAATACGTGGCGCATCCATCAAGAATTGACCAACACCGAAAGCTTTATCCTTTATTCATGGTAAATGATAAATGATGGTGAAGCGCTTTAACAAAATTAGTCCGACGAAATAAGTAGTTTCTTTTTTTCCCAGCGTCATTTTTTCAATACGTATTGACGCACACTGACGATAATGCACTCTTATTAAACTCAACTTTACCCTTATTTTTTTTTTAAATCCAGCGAATAATAAAGAAGCACAGCGTTATGCATGCAGTGTTACATTTACTACTTACTTGATACTTGAACGGCCTGTCATTAGCTGTGCGAGCCCCAGCATAATCACCATTCATCGGAGATTTGCTGGTCAAGCCGTTGTGGTCCCTGGAATCCCGAGGTCAGCCTAGCCAAAGTCTGCCCTAGGTCTTCACCACCACGAGCAGTCGCACCTCTTGTGGAACAGAGGGAGATTTACCACCATGCGATTTTGATATCAGGACGGTGGTGGATCTTGGTACTGGTTTACGCTTAGCTAGGCTTCCTGATGGAAACGCCGGGTCCCTTCTCATCTTGGGAGACCCTACCTGGTGGACGAATCCTCCCGCTGTACATTGCAGTCCGACACCCAGAAACACCTCCCAGCCACGATGAGACGGTAAACCGCTGGAAACTACATTTATATACCAGAATAAATTTACTTTTATAAAATGTTATAAGTAGAAATGTGTACAAGCGGAATAATTATGATATGTGTAGCCCATAAATGACTCGCATAGTTGCTGACTATTTTTTACATAATACTGTTCAGATTTTCTCCAAATCTAATGTCTTTATTTCAGCCGTATAATTCATAACTTCGGACTGCTCAAAAATGCAAAACAGTCAGAGATTTTCGGAAGGTGTGCTCGACTAAGATTCAAGTAAGCTTTCTCCTTTAGTAAATTCAATGACAAAAGTGTTCATTTGTGCCATATACGCATTAACACAGAATACGAACGTGCCCAATTCGACCAAACCCTCCAGCCCATCCGGCTTCTGAAAGTTGAACTGTAAAATACGGTGACTGTGAGTGGTGAGAACGAACGAACCCTCTAGTGGTGGCTATTCGGCTATTTTAATGAGAATCAATTCGAACAGCATTCAATGGCATTCACGAGAGAAAACAACGTCCTCAAAATGCGTGTGTCGGCGGGTCAGAAAAAATGATTTTTGAGCTTCATGAGGTCAAAATTTCATTATTTCTGAATAGTAAACTTATGACTTATTAGATCACATCCGTAGACTCCAAGCTTTTCAATTTTAATTGGTAAAGTTCACTATAAGGTGAGATGTGTTAGTTCGAAGCTGAGAGGTGTGGGAAGGTGAAGCTACTTTGTGGCAAGCGTATGCACTGGAACTAATGCGCATTCTCCTCAATGTGTTGAATGCTTCAAAATCCGCCCAAAATTCGATTAGCTGGAATTAAGCGCTTTTCTCGTTTCTCAAATTGCTCCTAAATTAATCGATGAGTCGTTTTCCATTGTGACATCGGCAAAATAGCGAATGTACCCGCAAATAAAAAAAGGAATATTTTATCGTCTACTGGCGAGCCCCGTCAGTGGAGACGGAGATTGAGAACAAGATGATTGAACCAGCAGTGATGGTAGAGACGCTAACAAAATTTTTCCTCAAATTCAACGAGTTTCTTTTTTTCTTGGTTGAAACAGCTGTTTTCAGGCATCTACGTAGTTCAGGGCATTCTAAGAGTGGTTCTGTACGTGACCGTAGTGTCACGCTTATGTTACTGGCAATTGTTGTTATATTTTTGTTCTGTAATAGTCTCGCTTTTTGCAATAATATCTATGAAATTGTTCGTGATACACGTGCTCATATTGAGCAGAATTCAACACAACCAACCATGTCCATCACAGTGGTGAGTATTTCCTCAGTTATGCAAGTATTTGAAATTCTGTGCTTCTCAAAGCATCTGAAAGCTCCTAAGCAGCGGACAGTGCAGCCATACCGATATTCTTTATTATACGAGCCCACTTCCCCTCTCCCTCATGCGACCAAGCTCTTCATCTCTCTGGAGTCAGAAAATTGGTAGCAGTATTGTCTGAGACGAGATCACTCCGTGCATTCCAAGTAGTAACACTCTATTCCGGGTACCTCAGAAAGCCAAGGGCATTTTAGTCGATGAAGATTCAACGAAATTCATAAAAAAAGACGACAATCTTCAAACAGCCGCCAAACCCACTCGCAAAAAAGGTTGCAAGAGTGTGTATGGTGGATGCGAAAAAACGAATCCAATATAAGAAGTGGTGCGATCCACACAGTGAAATTATGTGATGTCAGGTTATGTAATAATAGAAAAAGCTCCTACGGTTTGATCCGCTTTTCCAATGTTAATTTGAGAAAAGTGAGAAACCGACTCAAAGTACTACGAGTCAGCTTACAATCATCTAATTGGTTTTTTCTTTTCTTTTCACTCCAGCTCAAAATTTTTTAAAAGGAAAGCAGAAAATATATGAATATCGTCAACTATCGATGAATTTATAAAGACTCTCGTAAGCTAAAACTACTGGGTTTCATTTTCAGGATTTGAACAAAGTAGCCGATAGCGATATAGTTCCAGTGATAAGCAGATAGCTCCCAGCGGTTTACCGCCTTATCGTGGCTAGGTGTTTCTGGGTGTCGGACTGCGATGTACAGCGGTGGATTCATCCCCTGGCAGGATCTCCCAAGCTGAGGAGTACGGCGCTTCCATCAGGAAGCCTAGCTAAGAGTAAACCAATACCAGATTCTGCCACCTCCTGGTAATTGAATTTGCATGGTGGTAAATATCCGTCTGATCCACAAGGGCTGCGACTGTCTGTGGTAGTAAAGACCTGGGGCAGACTTTAGCCAGGCTGACCTCGGAATTCCAGAGGGAACCACAACGGCTTAACCAGCAAATCTCCGCAAAGTGGTGATTATGCCGAGGCCCGCACAACCAGTGAGCACGGGTCGTTCGAGTATCAAGTATCAAGTAAGATAAGCTGATAATGCTGGTGACACTTGAAGAAGTCGCCTTTATATTCTGAATGAAATACCCGGAAAGCATCTGCTAGCACACGAATTTTGTTATTAAGTTTTTTCCACTTGCATTGATAATGACTTTTTCAAATTGAAATACAAAAGTGAACTCAGGAGTTTTTAATGAATGATGAATTCGATATGATGAAAGACATCCCGAACCATTTTGTGAAGTTACCGTATCGCACTTCACTTCACCAGGCGTTCCAGCCCTCATTATCAATGAATTGTACGAAGCACGTCAGTTGCAGCAGATACCAGCGATTTCAAATCGAATACTTTAGCCACGAACATGATGCGCTCTATTTGAGCGGCGTCGCTTTCAGCAATAAAATCGATTGCATCCTTTTAAGCAATAAAATCGTTTTTTCCGTGAAAAATTCGTCCATTTACTGTTTATTTCTACTGATTTCATTCAATATTCATTTGTGGTTTCCTTGTTTACTGTCTATAAATCCGCTTCAGGAAAATAAAACGGGAACGTTCGAGCAAAATCAGGACATGTTTGACTTTTCCGTGGAGCTCAGTAATATTCTGATCTCGTTGAATTCAGCGTCGTCGATTTTCGTATATCTTGTGTTCAGCTCCAAATATCGGTCGATTGTCAAGAACTGGTTCGGCTTGGAAGAGAAGAAGACGGTATCATCTGATTTCTTAGCGAGAATTGCTTGATTTTCCACTTCTACTAGATTCAAGGAAAAATTACAGTATGTATATATAGAAAAGTATTTAAAGTAAGAAGTGGAAAAGTAAGTTAGGTCGTTTTTACCTCAATAAAACTACTTTGGCTGATAGAGGATAAAAGGTAAAGCTGTCGACGTTGACCTCTCTCTGCGGGATGCGCCATGCATTCGACTTCATTAAGCATCGCGGTTGAATGCATATCTGACCTACACAATGAGTGGCGGTGATCTACCGATGTATCAAGCAAGTGCTGCTATCCTCGCAAACAAGTCTGGGTCCAATTTTCCGATTTCGAAGAGACGAAGGGATGCGTTAGCCTATAATGCGCGGGAATCGATCCCATGTGTATTGCAGGACGCTTCCGACCACTGAGCTACACGCGCCGCTGTAAGTAACCGATAGGCGGATTAAAAAAGCTGCTCATTCCTATGAAAAAGAAAGGAAAATAGCGAAAAAATACTTTTAAATCTATTTTCATAGATTTACAAATCGTTTGAGCTCTACAAGGTAGAAGAATCGACAACGGGTTCTACAGCAAGACTTCGAAGTCATCAGTATCATCTATTTTACTAATAATGGAATAAATTGAGCTGGCACTGATAAACTTTCCACTCGTCTCTGTTATGTACGATAGCTGTCCAGTAAGCCCTACTGGCGCTGGGTAACGAAAAGTATCAGAGCTTTGGTATGAGCCTCTTTACTACTGTTTTTGCTGAAATATAATAAAAATATAAGCAATTGCCGAACTCTTTCATAGAGATGAGATACCTTAGCTAAGCGTCAAGACGAGAGCTGTAAGATCCTTTTCAACTTAGGTGGTCTGGCTTAATTGATCTCTTCTTGTTCATCTCACGGTTCAATAACCAGCTATAGTCCACTTACCTTCACGGGAAAGGCGTAACACCATTAGGACGACGAAATCTAATTCCGTACTCAGAATAATCCTTTGGTAGATACCTACAAGTCACTGTATTGGAAAGGTATGCGTTCAGTGTTTCTGAACGGAGGCGATTGGATACTGTATCACTGAGGGATTGGTGAATGCGGGACATTTTATCCTTTATCCTTTTTTGTATCTTTTAACTTAATAGGTCTTGTTTATTCTGTCATATTCTAATTTTTTGTTTGTTGCAAACAAAATTCATTCCCATAGTGCTGTTCCAGTGAGCTTCATTTTGCATCTTTGATTCATTTTTACCTATTTTGTTCTTGAAAAATATGATATTTAGACAAATGACATTGCCATCACCACGGCTATGGTTGCGCAACGGGCATTGGAACTATCATTCTTCCCCAACGAAGCTAGTGGTTCGTCAGAAATATACCAGATCTTAAATTCACTTCCTTAAGAAAAAGCAACGCTTTAAGAGACTAAAATTCTCCGAAAACTCTCAAATTCACTGTTTTTCTTCGATAAGCAAACACGGAGTTGGTATTCTGAAATTTATTAGGGAATTTTGGAATAGCTGACGTATCGGCGGTTTGGTCTTCTTCAGAGCCTGAAATGGTGAAATTGACATGCGATCAACACTGCCAAACACCTTCACAGCCTTAGCAGATAAGAGTTAACACATAAATTAGTACTTGCTTATCGAAAAAAACAGTAAATTATCGATTAGTTCCGAAGCTAACAGGAAATCGATCTTGGGACTGGCGTATTAAGGACCTTATAAAGTAAGGTAATTTCTTTTATTGTGAGAACACTCTACTTACTCCGATCAACAGGTGAAAAGAGAGGGTAAGTAGCGTGTCTCTTTTCCTAAGGCTTCATGGAATTTGACCAAGCTTGCTTTTTATGCAAGAAGCCTGAAGACAGTAAAATTTCTATTGATATTTATATCGTTACGTCTGACACCGTTGAGATTGCAAAGAGAAAACAACGTCGATATCATAAATCTGCCAGGGTGATACTGTCGCTGACTTTGAGTTTTCTTGTGGTTCTTTCATTTTCATCTTATTTATTGGGAATTGCGAAAATCGATTTGAACTTGTAAATGGGATGCGAAACAGTAAGCAATTGTGATAATACCAGCTGCTGTACTGTAGATTGTTCCTTGGAAAAGTAATCACTATGGACGGAAAATAAGTCAATCAACGACAGCATTAAACGTCACCGTTGAGTGAGGTAATTTCATTCGTGCGATTCTCCACTCTTGAAGACCAAAATAGATATGACGGCGAAGATCCACGTAGCGTAGCTTGACGACTGTGAACCACAGAATTTGATCAACGGCTCTAAAGAAGACGAAGACGTCGAAACTTCAGCCAACTAAAAGTTTTATAACAACCTTGTATAAGCTCACGAATACATCGAAATATTATTGATTGTTCAGTTAGAGATTAAATCGAAGTCCATTTTCAAAATTATAGGCTTGTAAAATTTGTGGAAGTACTTCTAGCAAAAAAAATTATTGACCTTTCTATTTAATAATTCTCTTATTCTTGTAAAGCTCTGTTTATTCAGAACGCCTCGCGAAGCCCGATTATGAAGCGGCATCGACTACACCCTCGAGCACGCTTGAAGTCAAAGGGTAAGTTAAACGACCAGTGGACATCGCATGTCCTCGTGGAGATTGTCGACGCGAGCCCAAAGGTAGGTAGGACCCCAAGAAACGTGTCGGAAAAGTGTTTTTTTCTAAATCAAACGTTTTGTCGTGCATAGTAATGCACTGTTATGGAATCTTTCATGACCTGTCTCCACAAAAAATTGTGAGAGATTCAGCATGATTTTGCTTGACTAGTATGCCGCTGGTCTGGAAAGACTTTTTCTAGGGTTCCAAGATGATTGTAATAGGACGTCGAATCCTCCTAATAACGTTGGTCAACTTGAGTGGCTACGACGTCTTATGCTGTGTAACTCAACTCGCTCAGGATGGCAATAATTTTTGGGATATGTCTACTGTTCGTCAGGCTTTTGGATAAAAATGTCCAACTCACCAGCTATGGCAACTTTCGGAAGAATAAATTTACTGTTGGGCATCACCGTCCGGCACAAAAAACATTCCTTTTTTAGGTGATGAGGCACTAAATCTGTAGGGAGTGTGAAAAGACAGAATCACTGTTACCACAATTTAAGATATGAACTTTTTTGAAAATATTAACATTAACGCTGAAAGAATGCAATACAAGGTGTAAAGTCTGAAGAGCTACATTTTGTTTAGAGCGGCTTATCAGCAACGTTTGTCTGCTTCATTTTATCGACTTAGAGAAGGTTATTTGCCTCATTACACTTTCTAGGAATAAAGCGACTACCTCTTCACGTGCTTTAACCACGTTGACATATTTATTTATATGATCTTATAAACTGATCTTGTCCAGCTGATGCGAGGTTGGTATAAGTCTTCATTGTCGTTGTCGTTGTTGTTGGTGTTGTTGGTCGACGGCTGACGTTTTTGCGATTTCGCCTTCCTCAGAGTTTGGACGTATTTTATATAAGAATACTTTAATTATTCGATGAAAAAATGTGCAAAGTATTTACTTAGTTGGATACTTGGATGGTTCGCCTTCATGAGTTGTGCGGACCCCAGCACATATGCCATTCGTTCCCTTCTCTTGCAATCGTAGTCCATGGTGGGTGGTCTTGTTCGAGCATGGCATCGCATGCGAGTCTCATACCGTGATCTGTAAAAAAACTGCAGCTGCCTGATAAAGATGATTAACTATGATTACGAACATGTCCGCCCAACATCCCAAGGCGATCCTCCAAGAGGACGTTTGCATTCTCTTGGACTCCACTCTACTGTTCCTTTCGTCCATCTGTTGTAGGCTGTTCTCATTATGTGACCGGCTCATCTATGCTTCGCTGTCGATGTATATTATCTTGAATCTCGAAGATGTGACAGATTTCGAAGGTCACAGCAGCGCATTCCGGCTACATATTGAGAGTGCCGATTTTATTTCAGAAGATATCGCTCGAACGCTGTGTGAGTACTGCGAAGCATTTTTGAGGTAGTTGAAGTATCAACCCTCGTCTCTGCAGCATAACAGAGAGCTGGGGGACCGTAGAATTAAAGAGATGAGCGCGGATTTTTGGGTCCTTCAGCTGGTCGGTGGCTTCTTTGTGAGACCCGAATGCGGCCCAAGCTGCTCTCCTGCTTCTGTCTAGTTCCTCCTTCATGTTGTTTTCCATGTTCATTGATCACCCAAGGTTAACGTAAGAAATGGTCTTTACAATGAAATAGCCATCAATTCAATTTTTCGCCTTCGCACCATGGGCTTTCATGAACTGGATCTTCTTTCGATTTATACGAAGTCCGATCTTTTCCCCTGCTTCGTTGAGCTCGTTGATTATCATCTCTGCTTCGCTAGTACTTTTTAAGAAGATGACAATATCGTCGGCAAAACGAAGGTTTGACAGGAATTTTCCATCAGTACGTGTGCCTTTCTCATCCCAATCGAGTGACTTCACTATCCACTGCAGTGCAGTACTAAACAGGCTTGGCGATATTGTGTCGTCCTGTTGAACCCCTTTTCTATGGATATGGTAAGAGGTCGGTGGGAAACCTGTATTTTCGCAGTGCAGTTCCGATAACAGTCGGACAGAGTTCTTGTGTAGGATGGGTCCACTCCTTGGTCGACGAGCGCTGATAGGACTGCATTCGTTTCGACACTCTCAAACGCTTATTCATAGTCGACAAAGGTTAGGACTAGAGGCAAGTGGTATTCCCGACAAACTTCGTTGACCCTGGACACTGTTTGGATGTGGTATGTACATGCAGCAAAATCCTTTTTGAAATCCTGCTTGCTCGACTGGTTGCGCCTTATCCAATGTCCTTGATATACGCGAGAGGATAATCTTTGTGAAGAGCTTGTAGAGTACACTTAACAAGTATATGGGGCGATAGTTAAGAAGATCCTTTCGGTCTCCTTTCTTGGGCACGATGACCGTGCTCGAAGTCCTTCACTGGTCTGGGATTTTTTTCTTCTGAAGGTGATCTGTCTTATGATTTGCGAGAACTATATGTAAACTGTGGTCTCCTGCTCTAAGGAAATCGACAGTGATAATATCGGGTCCTGGAGCTGTGCCTCTTTTCATGCTTTTTATCGCAACTCGAGCCTCCGATGGGAGAATTCCAGGCGGTTTCTTTAAAGGCTGGTGTAGAACGTTTCCGTTATTAATTCCATGTTATGGCGGGAAGCTTTGACTATCCCATTTTAGTTCATTAAGGGTGACAGCAGAACATTATAATCACACAATTTCCGACGGCATTTTTCGGACTGCTTCTTTTCTCTGCTGCTTCTAGTAGTTTGTTCTGCTTGTACCGTTGTAGATCTTCCTGCAAAGCTCTTCTGCAGCCGGTATTTATTACTAGCCATGTTAAACGTATTGCAGTAGCATCAAGTTTCAGTTTCCTTCTTTTTTCGAGCAACTCCTTAATAGTAATGGAGATACGATCCGATCTTCTTGCTTGAGGAACTGAGGCAAATTTGGCACACCTTTTCAGTCCTTCCACAAGCAGTTCGCGGTCATCGGCTGGGTCTTCTTTAATCTGCCATTTACGTTTGGATAGGCCTTCATTCAGAATGTTCTCGTCGTATGCAGCTCGACTATTTCCTCGTGGTCAATGAAGAGAGTTCTTTTCCAACTTGCGACTGAATCGAATCTTCGCGCGAAGAAGGCGGTGATCGAACCAGTACAGAATGGCAGGACTACCGATGTGTCAAGTAGGCACCATCTTTTGTTTGTCAGAAAGTGGTCGATCTCCGCATGAGTTATGCCGTTGGGAGACCCCATGTCCAGCGACGGCTTTCTTTCTTCTAGAAAAACGAGTTTCCATGGAAGAGACGTGCTGCTGGCAGAAGTTCTGCGAGACGGTTCCCATTCCCATTTCTATCTTCTAATCCAAAATTTGCGATCCTGGATTCGCTCTTGCTGGCCTTTCTTGTTCTGGAGATGAGGTCTCCGACAACAAGTTTACGATATGCTTTACCATTGCGGTTGACTTCCTCCAACTGATAGTAAAACGCATTTAATTCGTACTCATCAGCTGCGTCGGTCGGTGATTAGCAGTTGATGATAGCGATCTTTTTATGATGCGACAGTTGAAGACGGAGGGCGGCTATGCGAGAGGAAAGGATCAAGTATGAGTCGACGAGAGGGACAATGGGCGGGTGGACGCAAAGCCTATGCCGCCGACATTTCGTGACGGGACCTTTTCTCCACGGATCATGAAGGTCCCGTTGTTTAATTGGCGATTGACCTGCGGCTACAAGAAGGACGTAAAGATCGGCGTCTGTGAAGAGTGTTCTGGCATTATATATGCATAGTAAGAAACAAGCTCCATGATGTTTCGTGCGTGTGTTCGTCAGATCCGTTTCCAATGACATCCTTCGTAACCCGAGATTTTCTGGCCTCTCACCGGTCGCCTCGCTGCCTGACGTCATAGACGCGAACACCCGGTGTGTGTGGTGCTGAGGCTGGCCTATTGCTGGTCGTACAACTTGGTTCTTCGTGGAGTCCTGACTTAGCATTGCAAGGGCGTATCCAGGACTTCACTACGATATGGATCAGAGGGAGATCTGTTTTCGGCGACGAATCCTTCGCTCGGTCTTCCTACTTGTTGATTCGGAGAAATGTTGAAACAGAAGTCAGAAACGAAAGTAGGAGTGTAAAAGTAACCGATCGCTCAAGGACGATGTAGAAGCCGAATCAGCAAGATACTGCCGTAACTAACTCAAAATAACAGCGAATATACATCTATAGAGTATCATTTGGAGACAAGCGATTACTAGTCTCATACTGTGTAAGACGTCATTTGAAATATTCAGAAACCAAATCAATTCATAAGACTATTTGCCGCTCTGCGCGTGTTTTACTACAGTATCATAGTTTCTAATAAGAGAATTACTGAGAATGTCGAAATAAGAAACTTTTGAATGAGAAAAAGCACTCACCGGAAGTCGCTTTAGTGCGCTCCTGTTATGGGCATAGCACTTCGTGAAATCATTCTTTGTAGGAAAGAGAAATTCGCCTAACACTACGACTCGCTATCCGTTTATCACATTCTGAGAAACAGGGCACATGTTGCTTCTTTGCATCGTTATAATGTCATTATTCTCTACTAGGTCAGCTGGCTCACTTTCCGTGTGAAAATTCGATGCGTTCGTGAATTGGAAGGAACTCTTGAAAAATCCAAGAAGAAAAAGCCAAATTCGTATATGAAGAAAACCAGAACATGGGCCCCTCTTTCAGAAGAAGAAAGCTAGGATTACAAGGCCCCCAAACTACCTCAAAGCTAAGCCGAATAGACCTCTGTTGAGAAGGTTCAACACTTCGACAAATCTCACAAGGTGAAAATATAGACCATATAGAGAAAATCCATTTTTTGCCTCTTTCTTCGAGCTAGAAGTAAATAATTAGTAAACAGGTTCAATACGGCATGTTTTAGAAGATCCGTTATTCATTCGCTAAAACTCACTTAAATGAGCCCAATTAAACAACAAGGCATACTACACAAAACCATTCCTGGTGAAGGTGGTCTTCGGCAGCTGGCGTTGATTTTTCTATCACTAGAGTATTTCAGCTGTTCAAAATT